TCTCCTCCGCCGTCGTTTGTGTCTCCCCGTGATCCGTTGGCTTTATATGATGAGGCTTGTGCGGCGTACGAAGATGATGCGACTTCTCGCCCGCATGGCAAAGGGAAGGCGACTGAGGATGATGAGGAATACATCGAAGAGGATGATGATGAAGAAGAAGCCGGTGGTGACAACGATGACCAAGATGAGGATGATGACTACGACGATGAGTAGTTGCTTATTCACACGGCCTACCCCTTTTGGCACTTGTTGACAAAGGGGGAATGTTAGGCTTTAACTTATCTTGTAATAAGTTAGTTGGTCTTATGGTTTTGGAACTTTAAAACCTTTAGCGTGTATGAACTATGTCGTGTGGTGGCAACTTTGTGATGGACTACTATCTATATGTGTGTGTGATGGATGATTGTAGGACAAGTTTATGGTTATCTATTTATCTTATTAGCTTATACTTGTCTCTACTTATGATGGTGAATGCATTTTGGATGGCCATGTGTTGCTTCAAATTCTTTTTTTTTAAATCTTGGCCATCATATTCTCTTTTACTTGTTGTGTGAAATAACATGTCATATTGCATTTCTTTTCACGTCTATATACTTGTTCACACACACTTGTTGCACCCCACGGATTGCAAAATTTAGGGGGAGCTTTTGCCTTGGTGAATGCAAATCATGTATAGATGATTCTAATTGATATTCAAATTCATGCATACATCAAGGGGGAGCTCTTCATAAATCTTGGGGTTCAAAAAGCTTTAGATTCTTTCATTCCTATAAAAGCCTAAGTTGGTTGTCATCAATTACCAAAAAGGGAAAGATTGAAAGTGCATTTGCCCCCTATGTGGGTTTTGGTGTATTGATGACATCCAAATTAGGGACTAATGTGATCTTAATGAGATATGTTGTAGCTATTAGTCCCATGAAAGATTCAAAGAGTTGATAAAGATGAAATGGTATCCCTTAATTCGTGAAGTTGTAAAGGCGGACGAACTCAAAATGATCTCCAAAGGTTTTAATTTTGTTTTTGAGTTTAGGATCCACCGCACTATAAAGAGGGACGCAAGTTTAGTTGGTCTGAGGAAGATAGAGTCCTCAAGCATTTAAATAAAACCAAAAGAGAGTCACTCTAGCACTTCACGAGCACATAGAATAATTTTCTGTGACTTTCGGTGTCGGAAGTCCCGACGTAAGTCGGAACTCCCGACGGTCGGAAGTCCCGACCTAAGCCAGGAGTCCCGGCACCTGTGCTTCTGACTGGCTCGCTGTCTGTACACGTCGGAAGTCCCGACGTTCGCCAGGAGTCCCGACGTTCGTCGGGAGTTCCGACACTGACCTGACCCAAGCTGGGAGTCCTGGGATCTGCAGTGCTGGCTGTTTCGTTTACTGCGCACGTCGAAAGTCCCAACGTTTGCCGGGAGTTCCGACACTGACTTGCACGCGCTGACTTCCGACTCTTTGTGTACAGTGTTTTCTGTTAACGTCGGAAGTCCTGAGATCTGCGTCGAAACTTCCGATGTAGATCTGAACGGTTGGATTTTCACTTGGAGTATAAATACTCCTCTCTTCACTTCTAACCGTCACGAACTCATTTCACAGTTGACTCACTTCGTGCTCAATAGCTCCCAAGCAACTAAAGCACCCCTCTCCTTCCCCCTTTGCTCCAATCTTCGATTCCCTTAGGGTTTGAGTGAAAGGAGAGTGGATTAAGTGAGAGCATCACTTTAGAAAGTTTGAGCACTTGATTTCTTCGTCAAGCCGGTTGATTTTGCGTCTATTACTCTTGGGGCTTTGCCCCTAGCCGGCTAGGCGTTGCCCTAGAGCTTCCATCTTGTGGAAGAGCCTTGGGAAGTTTGTATCACCCTTCGATTTCTTAGTGGAAAGCTCAAGTGACCTTTGTGGTCGCTTTGAGAGAGGCAAGGAGGTGGAAAAGACTCCGACCTTGGTGGTCACCTCAACAACGAGGACGTAGGAGCTCCTTAGTGGGGTTGTCGAACCTCGGGATAAATCCTTGTGTCCCGTGTGCTTGTTGTTGTGATTGCTAGAGATTATTTGTATGTGTTTGTCTCTTTCTCTCCTAAACTTTTATTTTAGGGTTTGGACTCGATCTACCGTTTGGAGGCATTATGGTGTCAAGGGAGTGACTCAACATCTTCACCAAATCACTAGGAAGTGAGGTTGTAAGTTTATTTATCCGCAAAGTTAAATTTGGCACTACTTTCCAAACGTCGGGACTTCCGACAGTGACTGACAGAATTGAACTTAGCATTTGCAGTAATTTTTTAGATACGCCTATTCACCCCCCCCCCCTCTAGGCATTGTTAGATCCTTTCAGTGAGCGATTCTAGTGCGATTGCATCGTAAGGTTGCATCAAGTGGCACTAGGTTTTCGAGTTGCAAGCCGGTGGTGCTTGTTACTCTTAGAAGTTGCCACCTCCTAGACGGCTTGGTGGCTTGTGACTCCGTTAAAGCACGCGAGAAGATTGTGCGGTGCTCCGGAGGAGGATTTGTGAGGGGAATTGTGCTCACCCCGTGGGGATCGCGAAGAGTAACTCTAGGTGAGCATGTCATTGAGCTACCCTCACTTTCGGGGTAGGTTGTTGCAGTGCCCGACGTGCGGGCTTGGCGGGTGATGCCAATTAGCCGCCGAACCTCCAAGTGAGCGGTCGACACAACGGGGACGTAGCTTGGTGGCAACCAAGTGAACCTCGGAAGAAAATCACCGTGTCAACATTGTCTTCATCATCTTCTCGGTGGTTTGCAATCCGTGCAACACAAGCTTGTATTTACACTTGATACATTGTGCTTGTGTAGTTGTTCTTGTGACTAGTTTAGCTTTAGTAGCTTGGTAGTTGCCTTCTTGCTTGTGTAGCATAGAAGTAGCTCCCTTGCGTGGCTAATTTGGTTTTAGTAACCTTGTTAGTCACATTGCTTAATTTGTGTAGCTAAGTATTTTGCGCTCTATAATTTAGCTTGTGTAGCCTTGATATTGAGCATTGCTAGTGAGCTTAGGTGGCTTTGTGCTTTTGCATCACTAGTTGTGTAGGAGCTCCCCTGGTTGTATGAAGTACTGGTGCATAAGTTTGTGTGACCTTGCTCTAGAATTGATTAGGTGAGCTCTAGCTAGCCCGGCACCTTTGTTGTCTCTTTAGGATCTTTATAAGGTGCTTGTGAACTTAGATAGATGGGTGTAGTCTTGGCTAGACCGATAGTTTTAATTCCGCATTTGTTTCGGTTAGCCAGCGTGATTAAATTTTAGAAAGGACTGTTCACCCCCCCCCCCTCTAGTCCGCCATCTCGACCCTACACCCGCTTTTCCCCTTTCTCTCCTCTCTCGCCCCCCACCCTCGGCCTTGTCGCCCACCGGTGCTCCACCTCCACCCTCCCCTAATCGGAATCAAAGGAGAAATTTCTAGGCCACTCGACCCTACCGCCAGCGCACCGCCCACCCCCGCCACTCCATCCCTACCCTCCCCTATTGCCAATCGAAGGAGGAAAGCCAGACCCCTAGCCTCCACCGCGGATCTGCCTAGATGTCACTTGCCGCCTCGCTCACCGCCACTTCACTCACCACCACTAATCCAACCACCTCCCTTTCCAATCCTCAACCACAAATATCCTTCCTTAACCCGAAAACCCCAAACCCTAACCCTAACCCACGAAACCCTAATATGGATCAAAGGTCACCAAGGTCGAGAAGGTCAACAAAGATGGAAATTGAGGAGGTCAACGGAGATAGATATCATCGGAGAAGAGGAGGTAACCATCAGATTTGGCTTTTTTACTTCCTCCTTGATCTCTTTTGTTCTAATTCTATGTTACTTATTTCCTTTTTTGTTTTAGTTGATTTAGACGGTGAATTTATTTCTATTTCTTTTGGGGTGGGGGTTAAAATAAAAGTGCACCATCTAACAAACTATAAATATGGTCATGCTATCATGAAAGTTTAATCATCCAGAGATGGTTATACTACAAGGAAAGTTTAAGCGAAATAGGGGAGGTCTGTTTCTCTTGGCTCTTCTAGTTCCTTGGGTTCTTTTGTTTCTTTACCTGTGTTGATTCAAAAGCAGCTCCTTTCGCTCTAAATATTTTATTTGTGTTTATCATATCTCAATCTATCTCAATTTTTTTTTTCTAAAATTTTAAGTGTTCAAAGATATTTTTGTGATTTAAAACCTTATCAAGTGCTACCAGATTTTTTTTAACTAAAGAAAGAACAAAATCGTCTTCAAAACCACTCCAAAAACCAGTCACTTGAACAGAAAACCACTCCAAAAGCAGGTCACTCAACGGTTTTGGGAGTTTATGAAGTAAGATGTGTGGTTTTAAAGTTGATGATTCATTGAGGTAAAATAGATTTTTTTTTCAAAGAAATCAAGAAACTTCATGGCCCACGCAGCTGCCCTGGCCTTTGCAGCCGTTGCTGATGTGCCCTAGCCTTTGCATCCGGGCGACATCCGCAGCGGCCACACTCGCCGCCTCGATCATCCGACGCGTTGGCGGCGAGCACCATCTGCCCATCTCGCGGAGGCAGGCGACGAGATGAGCTGAGGCGGGCAGGGCTCGGCAGCATCTCTGGCAGTGGCCGCCGTCCTGAGCCTGCCGTCCCTTAATTTGGATCATGATTTCACGAAAACAGTAGAAACCGGCATGAAACAAAATCCAACGCACAACTACAAACACGGTTATGCTACCAGGAAAGTTTAAGCATCTCCGACCATAAAACATCTTTATGTTAGCGACGCACATCTGCTGTGTCTATGACCAGTATCTCCCCCCATCGGAGGTAAGCTACAGTCAAGAGATGGACACACTTTTGACAGTCTGAAGTCTGAACTGATTCGACCACCAGAGCCAAACCAGAAAACATGATAGAAGACTAGCAAGAATGGACAACCATAATGTCAGGTTCAGCCAAATGGCAATCAGCATAGCCCAGCCTTTGTTCTACTGCCCGTCCCCAGCTTTGAACTGCAGAGGACTGCTCTGTTCCTGGCCTGCTGCAAACTACCCTGCTTCCGCCTTCGTTTTGCAGTCCGGTCTGATCTTGCAGAAGCAGCAGCTGAACAGCTTGGCTCGGCGTTTCTCCCGTGTCCGGGACTTCTGACAGGGAGCACAAGCACCGCAGGGTAGAAGGTGTGAGCAGCAGCCACGAAGAACTCTGACTTCATCAACCTTTGATGTGTCTCCAGCGGTGGCTTTCAGGGGAGCGTTTCCTGGGGCGGACGCTGCAGGGACGACAGAGATCTTCTGATAGCTCAAGATCCTCGGTTCGGTATCCACTGTGTCACCATCTGCACCACCATGGAGGCACCCCAGGATATGGGGCGGCTTCTCCTTGGCCTGCCCCACGAGTGGGGAAGGGCAGTCTCTTCTGGATGATACGACGGTTCTGCAGTTTGAGATGACTGGGTCCTGCACCTCGCGGTCTTCTCTTGATTCCATGACAAGGCTGACAGATGAGTCCTTGGATCCAGCTCTGCTGCAAGAGATAGGCGAAAGGTTGATTCGGATGTCGACGTTGCACCTCAGCAAATTCTGCAGAGATGCACATAGTGGCTTCCAGAAGCTCTCTGATGTTGGGACAACCTCAGGATGGCAGAACTGTAGCTCAGCAACTGCCACACCTACAATTCAGAGCAAAAAAGAATGAAATCTGACGTGTAGAATATCCATAGTCAGGAACACAGTGATGCTAACTGAATGTATGCAGTCCAAATTGGCAGGCAATATTTGATGCCTACTAATGCAAGATGCACCCCCATTAGGAAGACAACAACACTAGCTTATCAACAAGTATACTTATTGCTATGTCATGCATGTGTCCAGACAAACATGTGCTTTCTGAAATGCAGCACTGAGCAACTGTCTGGAAAGGTGTATTAAGGTGGACCACAGCAAACAACAACTACAGGAAGTAGGGACACACTGTTCAGTAACAAACAGATCTGTCTCCCAATAAAACAGAAGAAAGAGGTCACACACAGAGAGCAAATTACCTTGGGTTGTATACAGAGACGACAACTTCCCATCTTTCCGTAGTAGATTTTGAAGTGGAGGGGATGAACAGTTTTCAAGAGCTTTCATCCATATCGTCTCCAATACATCTGGATCTCCCAAATTCATGTCTAGAGAACTAACTTTGTTCTGGGAACAAAGATGGGAACTCGTATCTAAGCTTTCATCTTTCAGTACTGCAGTCCCATCATCTGCACAAAGTACAGCTCACTTATCAGTAAACAGACATACTGATAAAGTGACATTGACACAGTTCCACTTCACAGTGCTTCTTACTCTCAAATATTTCAACATTCAGGAGAGATTAAATTAAGGGGGCAGAGAATATCAATTACCTGTCTGACTTTCAGTAAACATGCTTGAAACTGCAGTATCATCTAGACAGTAGGGTTCCATCATATTAAACTGTAACAGTGCAGCAGTAAGCCATGTAGACTGGTTTTTTGTTGTCTTTAATTGCTTTTCAGTTTCAGAGAGTATTTCCAATGCATTCCTAAGTTTGTGTGCATCCACGTCAGCAGCTGCAAAATTGATAGAAAGTTAGAAAGAGATGGAAAAAGAAAACAGGTATACACTGTGAGTGTAAATACTCTCTCTGTCCTGGAATACACTGCATTATGACTTCTAAAATTTATACTGAAATATAAGGCATTCTATATGGTGCCCATGCTCAGATTTAGCTAAGTTTGCTAAAGAGGAAACCACAATTAGAGAAGAAACTCCTTAATTGGGTTTAATCCATGGGTACATGCATCATATTTGAGTATTCCCTTAAGTTGTTTTAACATTTTTCGAATGCATTGTTTATAGGACACAATATTATGCAGCTAACTCATTAGTGAAAAAACATAATCTTATCTCCAGCAAGACTGCAAGAGTATTCAGTAGAAATGATACAATATCTTGCACTTCTGCAAAGCTTATCAACAACAGCATACAAGATCTGAGGACATTTAACATGTAGATACATGATTTTTTTCAAGCTTAAGAAGAAAGAGAGCATACATGTATGTTTGCCAGTAACTCTTATAACTTCTGAAGAATCTGAGGGGTGCTTCCCAGCTAAAATATCCATGATAAGATTTGCAAGCTGAGCTAATAACTGCAGAGGGTCGACTTTTGAGCTCAAAAGCTCCCTGGCCCTCCTCACAATTGTAGCAGCATCTGATGACATGGCCAGATTGAGAAGATCAAGCAATTCCTCGTCTGAGACATCACCCATCTGGAAAAAGGGAAGGAAAAACAAAGAAAGTTGAGGTGCCGACAAATTGACGGTTTTCAACCGAAAAGGGTTAAAACCGTAGATTGCTGTAACAAAAAGGTAAGGAAAAACAAAGAAAGTTCAGGTGCCGACAAATTGACGGTTTTCAACTGAAAAGGGTTAAAACCGTAGATTGCTGTAATAAAAAGGGAAGGAAAAACAAAGAAATTTAGGTGCCGACAATTTGACCGTTTCCAAAGGAAAACGGTTAAAACCGTAGATTGTGTTAACTCCTTTTCATAAAAGAAAACCAGAGTAATCAACCTACCAGCTCATGTGTCACTGATTTGCTGATTCTCTTTCCAAGTAGAGTTAGTTGGTCAAGCATTTGAATTGCATCTCGAATGGAACCGTTAGCCTTGCGAGCAAGAAGGTCCAGTGCCTCTGCTTCGAATTCCATGCCTTCTTTTGTACAAATCTTGATCAACCTGCGGGCAATCTCTGCATCATCTATCTTGCAAAACCTGTAGCTCTGGCACCACCCTATGAAATTGCTTGGTAGCTTATCAATATCGGATGTGATCATAACAAAGATTGTGCTCTCAGGAATCCCTTCAAGGCTATTATAGATGGAGTACCATCCCTCCTTGTCCATGTGCTGGCAATCATCAACAAGCATAACCTTGAAGTGTGAAGAGGCAGGGACTTCACAGGCATTCCTGAGCAAGGCCGCGACCCTAGATTTGCAATCAAGTTTGGAAGCATCAATCTCTACCACACTGCTGCTGCTTCCCGAGAATATGGCCACGCACTCGTCACAGCGCCCACATGGTTGGTTCCCACCAGTGAAACGGCAATTGAGCGCTGCTGCAAACGTTCTAGCCATGGACGTCTTGCCCACGCCGTGCGGACCATGGAAGAGATAGATAGGAGCAAGCTTCCCTTTCAGAACAGCACCTGAAAGAGACTGAGCAATAACACCGTGCCCAACAAGCTCGGAGAAAGATCTGGGGCGGTACTTCTGAAGCAAACTCCTGGAGCTCTCCTGGAACGTGCTGGCCTCCCCCCTCCGGCCAAGCTCCTCCCCACCAGCCACCAAACCAAAACCCCTGTCCTTTGCGATCCTCGACATCCCGGAGATGGCCGAGCAACAGCTCTGGTTATGGAGCGCCGCCTTGGCCATGGCATTGGCCTTGATGATGTTGATGGGCGAGTCGGCGAGCCGGCCCGACCTGAGGCTGTCCCCAAACTCCTCCCTCCTCCGCTGGAGGTGATCGTACGCGTTGTAGCTGAAGCTGTGCCTGCCGTAGGTGGTCTTGTTGTTGTTCGCCCCCTCCGGCTCTTCCTCGTCGAGGGAGCAGCTCTCCCAGATGGTCTTCTTGGCGGAGAACTTGGCCAGCGAGTTGGTGTCAGGGTCCCTCAGGGATCTGGACCGCATGATGGCCACCAGGGCCCTCGAGACAGGAATGTCCACCGAATGCCGCCTCCCATCAATCATCTTGCTGCCGACTGCTGCAGCCTCCACCGACGAAAACTGCGATGCAAACCAAACCAGCGTGTCATGGAATGGAACAACAGGCCTTGACAAGGCTACCACGGAACAAAAAAAAAGTCAGGCATTGCGCGGTGGACACACACACGGTTAAAGCAGCAAGCAATCCGTCCTCCCGGCGGCCGGTGGACGGAGCACCGGTCGGGTCGGGGCACCGAAATGCAGACTGGGAAAGAAAATCTCGAGAAAGGAATCTCCTTTACAATCTTCCGTCGGCAATCAGCATTGCCATGCGAACGGCCTCCCGAGGAATCCGAGCGGAAAAGAGACGACAATCCCGCGCCTTGCTTGGTTCCGAGCAATCCCCGGATTTTTATTTTTTACACCAAAAACCCGTACGGGGACTGGAGGAACAAAACGAAGACGCAAGCGCGAAATGCATCCACGAGCGGTGGAAAAAAAAAACCCCGCAATCAAAATCAAGCGGGAGAATTTCGCTCCGCATTCCACAATCGCCGCGCGAGAAGGTTTGGGGATAAAGAAAAAGAAAAATCCAGCGACCGGGACGAGACCAAGCACGCAGAACCACGGAGCGAGAATCCAGCCGAGAACAAGGAACAAAAACCCAAGCAGCAACATCGCTAAGAGATGGAAAGGGATAGAGATGGGGAGGGATAAGAGCAGCCGCAGAATCCTACCGCCCTCCACGACGACGACGATGCACGCAAGAGCCCGGAGCGGCGAAGCGCCTGGTCCTCCACTCCTCCTCACGCGCCGTCTCGTCGTGCCACCGCCGCGCCGCGCCGCGCCGAACACGACTCCCTGTCGCCGCCGCTACATTAATAGCGCGAGACACGCTCGCGAGGAGGAAAAGGAAGAGGAGGCGAGGCGAGGGAGCCGCGACAGGAGCGAGGAGGAGTAGGAGGAGACGGGGAGTGGCAGCGAGCCGTAAATTCCTGGGCCGGCCGGGAGGTGGAAACGGAAGCGGTGGCGTGCGGTGCTCGGCCTGGCGCTGGAGCTGGCTGGCGGGAGCGGAGCGGGGGTGAAACCTCGTGCGCCGTGCCCGCGGCGTGGCACGGCCGCGTTAATCGGGGCTGCTCGCGGGGGTAGTTTGGTCTTTTCTGGATGGGGTTCTGTAGAATTCCGTTGCGGCGGGTGGAGATGGTTTGCGGCGGGGGTGCAGGGCGGGTCGAATTAATGGCGGGGAGTGGATGAAAGGTGGGCCACGTAGGTGGGGCTCGGTTGTCAGTGACGGAGGTGGGAGGTGGGAGGTGGGCGGCGTGAGGGGCTACTGTCCCGTAGCAGACGGGGTGTGTGTCACTGTGGGATGGTGGGCCCGCGAGGAGGGGCGGAGATCGTGACCCCACCGCTGGCCGCTTGACCATGGTCTCGTCTCTCGTCACCCCCCGCTCCCCCTTTTTCTCTGTCCTATTTTTTTTTTCTTTAGGCCTTTTAAAAATCTAAGGGCTAAAATTTTGAGGTGTCATGTCGGGTGTCACAGGCGGTGTCATAAATAAAATACGGAATTCGTCAGTAATCTGTGAGACGAATTTATTAAGCCTAATTAATTCGTCATTAGAACATGTGTACTGTAGCACCACATTGTCAAATTATGGACTAATTAGGCTTAAAAGATTTATCTCGCAAATTAGTTATTTTTTAGTCTATATTTAATACTACATATATGTGTCAAACATTCGATGGTATAAGGAGTAAACTTTAGGGAAAGAAACTAAACAAGGCCTTTGTCATTCATCTTGGCTGGTTGTTTGAGTTTTAGCCGAATTTTGGCCGCATTTTGCAGTTGGTGTTTGACTCAATGCAAATGAGAACGCTGGGGGAAAGGCATTAGGTGTTTAAATTACACCTTGGGTTTTTTTATATATAAGGCAACAATGGCCCTCTCAAGAAATTTACCAATGATGTGAATTGTATTTTTCAAATGAACCTGGCGGTTATCTTTCGTTTCTAGAGCGAGTCAACCGGTGTAGATAATTTATAGCAGATCGTGTGAACCTTTTTTTTGATATACGACAATAATGGCCTCAATCTCGGGAGAATTATCAACGGTGCGAAATTGTATTTTTTGAGCAGACATGACGGTTATCTTCCGTTTCTAGAGCGAGTCAATCGGTGCGAATCTTTTGTAACGAACCGTGTGGATCTGTTAAAAGACGGTCCTGCCCTTTCGCACGTGCTCCCTGTTTAAACAGGGATGTGGCGGTTGTCTTCCATTTTTTGAGCGAGCCAATCAGTGTAGACTTTTTGTAACAAACCATGTGGACCTTTTGAAACAAAGATATTGCCATTCACACGTGTTAAAACACAATACGATGTACGATTTTTTGCAAGGGCGGTGGGAGGAAAACCAAAAACCCTATGGAAATTATATATTTTCTCTCTAGAGAGTGAGAGGACACAACACAAGTAATTAGTGGTTGCTTATTTCCTCCTGCCCTGTGGCCCTCATCAGAATCCGTATATTTTTTCTTGACCGTCTCCTGATGATGATGAATGATTAAGAAATCAGTAGCAACGGTATCTTGTGCTCCCTTTTCCGTTTCAGCCTATCATCTCCTGCCCCTGTCACAAGAATCAAGGTGGTGGTTTAGGTTAATACTACTACTCCTACTAGATTGCTTCAAGCAAGTGTCCTTTGCTTTTGTGCTGATTTTGCTTTTCTCTCTTTTTCTTAAAAAAAAGGAATTGTTTCTTGTGCAGAGATGGATGGATAGATAGATGTTCCATGCTTGGGACCTTCTCTTCTTCTCTGCCATTTTTTTAAGTAACTCCTCGCTTCTTTTAACGAGGATCCGGTCGAAACCGACAGCAACCGGCGGGGACCAGACCAACGCTAGTTGGCGTCCGGCGACCTTTTTTTTTATTTCAAATTTTAAATATATACTACACTGCTCCCTAATCTTCTAGAGTTATATGTACTAATCACCGTTGGTTAGTACTCAGTAGGGTGATTATGATTTCATCTTTTGCAGCCATCATTTTTTTAGTGGATTTCAGCCATCATCATGTGTGGACGGTCTTTTGCTGGTCAACTCCACTGGCTAAGCTGCTGAAACCAATGTGGTACTTTATTCGGCGGCCCATGCCGACCCAGCCCATGACCACGAGCAAAGAAAGGCGGTGTTTAGTCGGGGTTGCACGGTGAAGATTCTCTACTGTAGTATTTTTATTTGTATTTATGAATTATTGTTCAAACATTGACTAATTAGGCTCAAAAGATTCGTCTCGCAAAGTTAAATCAAACTGTGCAATTAGTTTTTGATTTCGTCTACATTTAGTACTCTATGCATATACCGTAAGTTTGATGTGACGGGAAATCTTCTTTTTCATAGTGCACTTTTCTGGAGTTCGGAGGACTAAACAAGGCAATGATCGCATCATCATGCATATTCGTTCATTCCAATCAAATCAAATCGCCGCCGTCCGTAATTGGCGCTGCTGCGCTCCTGTACATGTGATTGCTCTAATCAGCATCATTGGGCATGGATTTGCCCTTAATCGTGATTGAACTCTACGATTTTGTCATGGATTACACTAACCGAACGAACTGATTCTCGTAAAATTACTCTTAAATTTTTCTTGGAATGCATTTATTACATGACGGAGGGAGTAGTCACCAAATTAACCAAATTAAACTTGTTCTGACAAAATGTCTATTTGAATAAGAAAGCTAGTTACTCCCTTCGTCCTGAAATATAGCGTATTCTGGTCATTCTCAGATAAAATAAGGGAGAGTACAATAGATGCATGTACCCTTCACTTATTTTCCTATTCACTTATTTTCCTACTCTATTAAAATCTGATTTCATTCCTGCATGATTAAAGGGTAAATTCTTATGACACCATCAATTGAGGCTAACACTGTTAGTAGTTCTAGTATAAATAGAGTGATCCACATAGACTAGAAAATATTGAGACTATTCTTCACACGATGTAAACTATCACTACTTGTGGTTTGCACATAAACTTTTTCCTTTCATCATGCCTCACATTTATTTCGTCTCCCTCTTCTTTTTTAGTATGGACCGCCTTCTTTCTTCCCGAACATATGTAGTTTCTGCAAGCAACTATGACAAGTACAGAGCACCTACTTTTTTATCCAATCCTACATGGAACTTGAGGCTACAAGTAAAAAAAACAGCTTTGGGAAGGCCTCAGTCTCCTTATACAAAATATGGCAAGTACATGAATTATTTTACTTTACTTATACAAACTAATCACGTATTTTATTTAAGTAAACATTATCTTCTTGTTCCCCGAATGCACTATATATTAGGATAAATTTCAAATACCATAATGCACTATATTTTAGGACAAAGGGAGTATAGCCCAACAAAATTAGTTATTTGTCATTTTCAAGAGCATTTTGTAAATTTGCTATTCTCAAGATTAACTTCGCAAAAATTACTATTTAGATCACACACACTTTGATTAATATGCCATTTTGCCTCTTTTAATTATTTTCCAGTTGTTTCTCTAGGAATATCTACCACCAGAATTGACTAAAATGGCAATTATGTGAAGCCCATTTTAAAGATGGCAAATCGGCAAAGCCCAATCTTAAACATGAAAAATAGCCAATTTCTCTTGCTTACACAATACTCTTATATTCAATGTATAGATGTTTCTTTCGAGTGAGCGTGTAAGATGGAGCACCATGTTTAGATATTGACCTTAAATAAGTTTTTATGACCGTCAATGAACCATCTCAAACTGTGCAGCTATTATACAAATTTTCTAAACTAGGCAAATATCTGTTTCAATAGCACAATTTAACATCTCAGACATGTCCAATCCTTGTTAATTTAGCAGCTACTCCCTCTGTAAAAAAAAGAAAATCTCACTTCCGGAGAAGTTGAACATTTCCAAGTTTAACTTAGCTTTATCGAAAATAGTATCAACATTTGTACCTTCAAATTTTGCTATGAAAATATATTTTATGGTTAATTTAGTGATATTTATTATTCATTATAAATATTATTATTTTATTTATTGATTTATATATTTAGTTAAACTTGATTGTTTGACTCCTCGTAAAGCAAGGTTTTCACTCTTTGTTCGATGCAGGGGAATAGATAGTACTCACTCCATTCCAAATTATAAATCGTTTTGACTTTTTCACTCATTTTACTATGTATCTAGACATAATATTATATCTAGATGCATAATAAAATGGATGGATCAAAAAAGTTAAAGCGACTTATAATTTAGAACGGATGGGGTAGCTAAAGTACTGCCTGCAATGTGTGCTGGCTACCGTATCATCAATGCCTGTAACACTCTATTTTACATGAATTTTTTACTAAGCCATCAGTAGGCCGTGTCATTATCTTATCTTGTGCCCTCCAACCGGACCGGGGGTCTGCCCTACACTGCTGCCTGCTGGGATAGCTTGTAGTGATCATAGATCATTGTAGGGGCCTCCCTCTCTAAAAGGATCCAAGATCCGGCCTTGGGGCGTCCGAATTGACCCTTCGTCGTCGTTTAACTTGCGTTGGAGCTACAAAGGTAGGGACAGGCAGGGAGACCCTTAGCATATGACATTGTAGTTAAACTACTAAATCACAAGCCGCGTCCAATCCTGTCTGAGTGAGAATGAAAAAAATCTCAAGGTCCAT